TATTTTTATTGAAAAATGTACAGTATATATTTTAAGTACAATTTATTTAAATTGCTTGTTTTTTGATTTTATCTTCTCATCTTAACGTTACCGAATCGAATTACAGTGAAACTGAGGTACGAGATAAAGGAAATGTGAAGGGCCAAATAATTATTAGTACTTTATATTTCTGTATATATCGGTTGAGTCGATAGCACTGATGTTAACTTTAGAATGTCTCTAAATGTTTGAGTAAATAAATTGACGACATAACATCAATTACTGATATGACTTTATTATCTGAAACTCGATGACGTACGGATCATGAATAACAGAAGACAATTATTATGATTTAGGATAAAACTAGAAATAATTCAGCTTAAACGACATTTCAATCTAATTATGTTTAAAACTTACATACAATGCTACCGATCAATTGAAAAATGTTGCTGATTTATGTACTTTTTGTTGAAACTATAACGTATTTCGATTGGAACAGTTTTTTTTTTATGTTACTGATAATTTAAGAATCCAGGAACATTGTCAATTTCAGTGGAAAAATGAGGAGTAGAGGGGCAGAAGACCTGCGTTAAGCATGCCTCAAAAATTGAGGTATTTCATAAAACGATCGGGTTCCTAAGGGTAAAGTAGAATATATTAAAAATATAGAGAATTATTATAAAAAATAAAGGTAGGTTTTTAAAAACTAAACACTATCAATATCAAAAAACAAATAACGAAACATTAAAAACTTTTGAAACTAAATAACATCCAACAAACGTTATTCATTTTTAAAAAAAGGTAATACAAATTTTGATGAGAAAACACCAGTTTTCAGTTTTGTGTAATTTCAAATATTTTTTCTTCTTATTTTTAACTTTTTAACGTTTTAGAATTGGTAACTAGGCTAAGACGTAACGAAGCTGCCTAAAAAATATAAAAAAGAAGTAGAAAAATATATTTAATATCGTATTCTTTTTATTTCATATTGTAATTTAAAACTTAGGCGAAAAACCAGGAAAAGGGCACACCTATTGTTTGCATGGATGCATGCATACATTTAATTTACGAAACATTGCACATTGATAATTAATTAATTTATTAAAGAGTTTCGATTGCTATAGGTAACACCTGTGGTCCACGTCCGCAATATCAATTAGATATATTGGTTATTCTAAACAATATTGCCCCCAAAAATATAAATAATTAATAATAAGATAATATTAAGAACAAAAATCATGGGAAAATAAAGGTTTACATACCAAACTGATTTAATTTGCAAATTAATAATGTYAATATTTAATTTATTTATATATTTTATATATAAATATGTATATATTTATATATACATATATATATTATTTATATATATATATATATTAAATGTGTATATAAAAAAACCATTTTATCAAAACAAAAAAACAAAATTAAAACAATATCTATAAAAATTGTATGATAAAAAGGTGGCAGTAGTCGAAACAATTTGTCTAAAAATAATAAACTTTAAAATAAAATAAAAACAAAACTCTTAAGTTAGGTTATTAAACAAAAAAAAAATCTTTTTGGAAGTTGCATATTATCTAAGTATAAAGAGAAAAACCAACAGTTGAAAAACAATAAAAATAAAATGAAAAATAGTTCTAACGAAACAAAATCTAAGTTCTTTGGAAGGTTTGTGTAGTACTAATACAATTCGTTTTTAGTACTAATACAATTCGTTTTTGCTCGGTGTAAAGAGCCCTATCCATTGTGTTTACCCTGAATTATTTAAATAGTCCTAAAGAATAATTACAATAAAAAAAAAAAAACCATCAATTTCCCTAAGTCGGTAGAGGCTTAATTGTGTAATAAAGGTAGATTAAAAAAAATTGTAAAAAACAGTTCTCGCATTAAAAAACGACAGATTTTAAAAAGACTATTCAAAAACATTAAATTTTTTTATATCATTTGTATAAACATGCGTAAGAATAATAAAATAAAATAAAAAAACAAAACAAATAAATGGATTAATAAAATGTGACTACTCGTTACGGAATCTTACGTTATGACCAACGGAAAGGCACAGTTCTTGGACGTTCTGCGCCTTCTTTAACTAACGGCTTGTGAAATTCCCGGCCTGGTCTTGAGTGGATCGTTGCCCAGCATAGTTCGCAATAGTACTGAAAATAGATGACATTTTTTAAAAATAACTCAGACCTTCCTTAAAATTTGACAACAGAGTTGAACAGAAATTAATTTAATATAATAATAATGAAACGTAAAACATAGATTTATATTCACGAAAAATATAAAAATACATAAATGAAAACGAACTACACAGTATAGATGTGTATAAACTTTTAGATGTATTCTATACATTTTAAACTATTAACTACGGTACTTTCAACACGTAGAGCTAACCAACTTATACGGAGTTCAAAAAGTTTGAAAACGTTTAATTCATGTCTTCAAACCGTTATGGAATTTCTAAATTTTATGAATACATTGTATGTATGTGTATAAGATAAATTCAATAAACCAAACCAAAATCAAAATAATAATATCAAACTAATAGAATTATTTTGACTCACGGCTCGCTTACTTGTAAACAAGTGACGTTGGCGCAAAAGAACGGTGCGAATTTGCCACCACATCTTTGTCCCTGGCACTCGTCGCACATCTGATCGTCAAGCACGTACGGTTTGACTTCGACCTTGATCACAAAATCAAACGTGTTATTAACCAAATCAATTAGATAATATTACCAGACAGCAGCGAAGACAATATATTAAAGAGGAGRCGAGAAACAAAAAAAAAATTAATATCATCGACGCWTCAATTTAAACAGAACAGGGCATATCAACCATCATAATTGATAACGTATTTGAGTGTATAGATTAGGGGTCGGGAACCTTTTCGTAGGAAAGAGCCATTTTTTCAAAAAAATACAAAACTATGRTATCMAGGAGCCACACTGCAGGTTTGAACAACCTTTTTTTAGTAGGCAATAAAAACATAATAATACGTCTTAAATTTAGAAAATATGGAAAACTTTATTTCATTAATTCATTATTATTTATATTTATATTATTATTATTATTGTTTATACAAATATAATATTATTTAGTATAATATAATTTATATTTTACGGATATCGATATATTGATAATTATCCAAAGAGCCGTAGGTTGCTAGTTAAAGAGCCACATGCGGCTCCGGAGCCGCAGGTTCCCGACCCCTGGTATAGATGGACGAATCCCTCCACCTTTCGTGAGTTGGGCCTTGAGTTATTTTTTTGTATTTATATAAAAGCGGATCATCATAATATATCAAATTACATCAAAATGTTTGAATTTCTTCCATTGAATCGAGCTTCAGATATGTCAGAGTAAACTACAATACCAGGGGTAAGCACCTAAACTGTAGAGGTTTCGCCTCAATACACAGTCGGTTTAAATGGTAAGTAGGTAACCAAGCGCAAAGCCCAATTGTTACAACGATAAAGATGGATATTTTGGATATTATCCCCTATAACGTATAAATAGTTTACATTTACGGTAGAAATATTTATGATTTGGTTTTAATGTTTTGTGTTACACTTATAAACATTCAAAACAACACCCATGGCGCCACCCCRGGGACATAATTGGGTAGTCCGGGGAACCTCCAAACCCAATCCAACCTCTTCTTCAGTGAATCTGCTCTATGCTGCGCCTTGTTAGGGAAATTATACTCACTCTCTTGTCGATGTCTCCGTGCTGGAGCTGTACAAAGCGGGCGCTAATGGCAGCGATATAGCTCTGTTGGTTGCTAAACGCTACTCGGCCGGCTCCTTTCGGATACTTAAGCTCTGGRTCGGTATCGATTCCTGCATAACACACTCCACCGTACAATCTGTCCATGATCATAGCCAATTCGACTGGAAATAAAAACAGGAGTGTTAAAAAACGAAAAAACCCAATTTTGAGTTGCAAATTATATATATATAATATATAAGGTAACGCTATAAATTTGGATGCGTACAATGACAGCTTTAACGGGGGTGTATGTGCAGGAGAGAGAGATTAAGTGGGCAGGCGGTTGGCGTTAGATATGCTCCACTTTTTGTGTGCATCTCGATATAAAACGATCATAATAGTAATAASCAAATAACGAAATATATGTAAATGTTCATCGTGATTGTTATTACAACTTACCGGCTTTCAACGGTCTGGGCACGCCACCTACGAACACGGTTTTCCGAGGATCTAGTGGCATGGATGCGTCCAGAACAAAATCGGCGTCGGACAGACGCCAAGGTCTAATTTGCACAGGTTTGTCCTTGATGGTAGGCGAAGACACGCACAAGTATAATTTGTCATCGTCCTGAATGCACGCATCGATCAATTGCTGTACCGAAGACTCGTCCTGCAACAGAAAAATGTCATGAAAAACACAATATTTGATGTAGGTAGGCGTAGATATAAAATGTGTTTTATYATAACGATGGTATAGCATATAATACATTATTTTATAATTATATATACGACTATACCACGGTATATTGATATTAGCTGTTTTTTTTTTTTTAAATAACTCAAACACCATATATCTCTCTGCCACTTTTTCCTTTCGTTGTATTTCTCGTATGCCCATGAAACGGGTGAGAACAAGTATTGGGCCAATTGGTAGTTCGCCAAATAATTTAAGCATATACGAGTACACAAACACAAAATGAATCGAATAAATAAATGGAAAAGAATTTAGGATTTTTTTTTTTAAAACGCCTTCAAGTTTGCAAAAAATAATTTACCAACGAGTTCATTTGTTTGTTTGTTTAATTTAATATTTATTTAATYTGATAATAACAAAAATGAGTTATTTCAAAGTAACTYTTTTTCGTAGGGACAGATTTCATAATTTTTTTCACATATACAATTTAAATGAATTAAAATTAAAATTAGAACCAAATTACTTAAAATAATATGTATTTAACAATTGTCTTTTTTATTTTGGATTGAATATTAATCTTTTTCATAATTTTATAAAAGTTGTAGAGGTCAAGTTTGATGGTTTGTTAAGTATACTTATATACGAATTTAAAATATAGCGCAACATTTACTCTGTCCGGCGATGGTTAAAACAATATATTTTATAAGTTATGTATGCTTCATAGCGGGTTTAAGAAACTTAAAAAAATTGAAAAATATGTATCAAGTTTAAAAACAAAAAGTTAATATTTTTTATTAAGTTGTTATCGTATTTATGAAAACTGGATATTTGAATGGCCAATAAGGCCTTGTAAAAATAAAATCTAATAATTTGTTGAAACTTATGTCAGTAGTCTAGACTCGTATTGTATAGAATTATATATGAGTGTCACAATAAAAATGAGCTCACCACTTGGCTTTGACAAATCAATGTCAATGCTGAGCTGTTACRATAAAAGCAAACACGACACAAACCCTAATATTATCAACTCTTTTTTCCATGATATTATCCAAACCAAATACTCACACTACACGAAAATACATACGGACGCATCAAAATCCATACATGGAGTTGGTTTTGTAATTTCCCGAGATAATAATATCACTCTGCTCCATAAACTACCACCTGAATCATGCATATTCTCAGCTGAAACCCAAGCCATTTATGAAACTACCATATTAGCCAAGACCATCATCTCAAATTATATTCTAATTTTAAGTGACTCCCTCAGTGCTTTACTAGCTCTTCATAACCCTCAACCTTCAAATAAAATCACCCAAAATATCCAAAAAGTATTAAAATCGACCTCTAAAAACATTGAACTTATGTGAATATCATCCCACACCGGTATAACCGGCAACAAAATGCAACAAAGCAGCCGACATAGCAACTAGAATTATCCCCCCCCCCACCAACTTATCCAATCTACCGACTAATAACTTCAAAACTTCTATCAAACACAAAATACTTTCAAAATGGCAAAATTATTGGGATACCATYTCTCCCTCTAATAAACTTAAAACAATAAAGAAATAGATCGCACCTTATTGCCTYAACAGCCTACAGGAAGTTACAATCACGAGATGCATAATCGGACATTAATTTTTAACTCATTCTTTTCTCATTAGCAAAGATCTACCACCCACTTGTGACGAATGCTTCACCAACCTTTTAGTTCAACACATTATCATTGTCCATTGATTGCATCAAGTATCGGGACATAAGAAACAACWTAGCAATACCACCTAATATGAATGAAGCACTCAACAAAAACAACATCTCCAAAATTATTTTATTTCTAATCAAAATCAATCTTTTAAGCAAATTTTCATAATGTACAAACATTTTTCCATAGTCTTTAAGTTCAAATACTCTTTTTAAATTTACCTTTATTTTTCAAAAAAAAAAAAAAAATGAACTATTCAAATAATATATATAGGTATTTAAGAGAAATTAAAAAATTATTAAATTCGGTTTATAAGGTATTAGATTTGTATAATATGTTGCTGATAAATAAATTAACAAGTAAATAAGTATTTCTTTCATACAATTTAATCGTTTACTTATAGGGCATCAYTATATATGATAACATATTACCCTCACACGCTTATAAATTAAATTTAAATGATTCCCCTTTTTGCACTCTGCATATGGATGAACATATTTGCGATTTGTCCCATATTCTCTTCGATTGTCCCTCTCTTTCCATTAAGTGTCAGAGCCTAATTACTTCTCTCAATTCGTTGAATGTTCCTTTCAATCTCCACTCCATTTTAAACTTCATCTCTGAACAAGTCATTATTATTATTATTTCTTTTATTCAGGAGGCTGGCTTTATTATCTTAGTCTTTTTGCTTATATAATGTATTATATCTTTAGCTATTTATAACTTAATTTTACTATTATTCTACTGTTTCTTTTTTTCTACTTATTATATTGATTGTTAATACTCTAACGTATTGTAATTGTTGAACCAGATTTAAAATAAAAAGCTAAAAAAAAAAGTATTTCTTCATGACAATAGGTTGTTTTTACGAATTGAAAGATATCACAACCGTCAAATTAATATTCCATACAATTATTTTGTTATACGCTATTCAACAACCGTTAATAAGATTGTCTCAAGGTTAATTTGAGGTAGAAAATAATTATTATTCTTGTGAGACGRTTCTCACCTTTATACATTCATTAGTTGAATACAATATAGTTCAGTTGAACTCGAGTCCGAATAGCAAACTATTATATATTTATACATATATAATACATATTATTTATGTGTAGTATATTATAATATTATTTATCTAGCGATAAAAGACAATAGGGATATTGTTTATCTAATGATACCTACTTAATCTGTGAAGTTACGGAGTATTATTTATTTTGATCTAAGCAAACTGGGTAGTCCCGTTGGTCAATTTATATGCTAAATGAAAATATTTTTAAGTTGTATAATTTTTAAATTATAACCACTGCGGTAAACTAAAAATTACAAACCAACCCCCCACCCATTTTAAGAATCGAGGAGATTATATAAAAATGAATTATAAAATATAGTATTTTACTATTTTATTTTTCTAGCTTTGAATTCAAACTTAAAATACTCATRGTYATAAAAACAAYTTAGGTTACCTGTTGTACACGTGTATATTTGTTTTATGATKATTTTAAATCTGAAGGTCGTTTATAAATTACTCCAAAATGTATTAAGGAAAAAATTAGAGGATGGTTTTAGAATAATTGATTGAAACCAATAAATACCTGAAATAAAAGGAAAGCGTATCCTTTTGGCGGAAAATAAGACTTGCTCTCAGCTTTGTGAGGCCAGTCGACCACCAGTTGACCGAATCTGCGGAAACTAGCTGTKATTTCATCTAGGAGATAAATGTAAAACAAAGATTAGCTTCTATCGATAAGAATAGTTATTCAAATAAAATCAAAATTGTTTATTATTCAAGATTGGCATAGTATAAAAATGTAAACGAACCTTCGTCGATATCCGGTGGCAAGCCGCCTACAAATACTTTCCTGGAAAACCTTTCACTGCTTTCCGATCCTTGACTGTGGGGCGACGACCTAGATGGTGACGYCAGAGCTTGAACGGATGTATCGATCAAATGCGAACCAGAGTCGTCCAACAATCCCGTTTGATCTTCGAGTGTTTGAAAAAAAGGCGATTTACCTGGAAACAAGCAAAAATGAACGAAAAAATTACTAAAATTACATTTCGTACACACACACATAAGTATAAATATATGTATATATGATGTATGGGCTGATTCACCAAGCATGCTTATTGCTCATTCATGTTTTTTCATTTAATAATGAATTTATTAAAATTATTGGCATTCTTTCCTGAAATGATACAAACTTTTGTTTTTCAAATAAAAATCCCCCTTTTGAATTCAAAGGGGTAAATTATTCTTGACAGAWCATTTTTTTGTTTTAAAAATGTTGATGTACCTAATTCTGGTAATTCGACATTTTAATGAACACAAAGTTAAATAGCTAAAAACTTTCCTCGTTAGAATTTTGATTTTGATTGAGGTACTTCAAAATGTTCAGAAAAATTAACCACTAAATAATTTAAAGTAAAAAAGAGGGATGGGATGGTTATCGTTTGAAAACAGAAGTTTGTATCTTTGCAGGTCTATCTTGAATACAGTGGTATGAAAAATCTGAAGAATTTTAAATACGGTCCCTACGCAGGTATATTTATAAATCCTAAAAAGCAGGTTTATAATAACTGCGAATTATTGAAGAGGAAAATAAATATGAGGATGTTCGGCAGTGAATTATTCTGTGATAGTATACAACTTTAGGCAGGACACATGAAAAAAAAAAACTGAACGTTACACGATTGTTATCTATATATTAGAGCAAACTGTTCGTCGGATAAACGAGATGCTTATCCAGCTACATTGCATGGGTGGGCGAGTTTGGAGGGCGTGCATATATATTCCACAAATCTCCGTGAGAAYTGTATAATAAAATATACACAATATACATGTATAATGTATATATATTATGTACACGCACACTCGAGTATTCACAAAAGTATTTTCGTAAGCTCATCGGAATAGAAAATGTGCAGATCCAATCATTGGCTCAATGAYGAATGAAACGACGTATTATTAAGCTCACAATTGTATATATTTTAATATATACTATTAATACATAGTACAAACCTCGGCCAAACGTATATTCAAGACGTCTCGCGGAATTTCATTTACACACAAACACACAATATTTACATCTAAATATTTACATWTAGGTTGTATCATGTACTTCACCTTATTTATTCACGGTATATGGAATCATATCATACCTATAAAATATATAAGTTATATAGAGTTGTCGTATAGTGTTTTTTGGGGTGTCGTCTCCCGCTCCACCCCCGAGGGAAAAACGTTCAAATACATAATATTAATGATACACCCGACGTTATTCGACAACGGCGAGCGAAGAATCAAGCGATCTCTTTTCTCCTCTCTTCAGTTATATATACAAATAAACACGCCGAAGTGCACGAATAATAGGAATACATTACGACGTGCATTCGGATGTTGACAGGTCTCGAGGACAGAGCTGCAAGGGATGTATATTATTATGAGGGCGACGAAGATGGGATATCATTCATATATATATATATATATATATATATATATATTATATACACATACATACATACACACACGTACGTATTATATGGATTCAACAATGCGGTTTGGCCAACGAACATATAATAATAATCCTTGCCAACCTTTCCAAAGCAGCGTTGGTGGGTTAGTGAGTTCCAAGTAAGAGACGACGAGTAGGTATAAAATACACGAGTTGCGATGAAAAATTAAATTATTGCCACAAGATCAATATAATAACGAAAAGTAAAGGTAATTATCATACATAACCACATTATAACAATTTATAGTAGGTAAAATGATCATCACTTACAAGTCAATAAATTATTCATAACATCACTATAGGGGAAAAAACGCACTTTAAGAAATTGCATGACATCCCTTAAAATGAAATACTCTTTTATAATAAGTGGTTGCGCATATAATTAGAACACTATAACGTACAACTCAATTAAGTCGTGACGACACCAATAATAAGGCACTCTCCAGTCTCCACCCACAATCCTCGGAAGAAACCAGCCGAAACGCGTTTTAATCATTTCATCGTTGACGCCCTACAGTAACCTGCACGGATGACATACGCATTATTTGTATTGATTTAGTGTAGGTATTTAGTGCGAACATTGTATATTTTTGATATTCAATTGCAATATACATTTATTTCAGGTTATATTAAACACGACCGAACAACAGACGTGTGCATTAAATTAAATTTTATATCATATATATAGCTGCGGTGACCTKCTGCAGTTATTTGCCACTAATAATAATAATAATAATAATAATTGGGATGAATTACTTTTTGAGTCTAGTGCTATTATTTAGGCCGAGATTGAATACGAGAARTATAAGTACCTGCTACAATGTTGTAAATGAAAAATGTTCGAACGTATATACATAGTGGCAGACGGATTTTGTTCTGTGCACTTTTAGTTAACGAGTCACGGGCGGGGCGGCAAAAGAATAATGCGAGCATACATGTATTATTAATGCTCGCGTAGTCGACCGTCATCCCTTGCTCTCACGGTGCAGGTTCGGCCGGCTTTTGAAATTAATASTAGTTATATCGTACACCTACTTCACTCGTAAAATAATATACAGAGTTGGTCAGCGTAAATATAATTCCAGCAAGGATATAACGCAGGAAAAAAAAATCGAAGTAAGACACGGTCACAGCCATCCTGAATAAGCGCACAAAACTCAGACTACTGGATAGTTCTGTTTACCTTTGGTCTCCTGTATATGCCTACAGCATTACTCGCGACGCACACGACAATCTCCTATACATACGTATATTATTATATATATATATTCGGCCCTTGGCCTGAGTCCACAATGTCGCCTCAGATTTTTTCTCTACCCTCTGAAGTGTTCAACCGTTTTGACGGGTGTTTTCGACAATGTTTTAAATTCTCTTTGGCGCTGTACACAAAAGGACCGTATATTTGAACTTTAAATCGTAAACTTTTGCTTAAATTGATTTTGAAATTTTGACACATCTTAAAGTGAATCCCACTCATCGTAATATATTCTGTTGTACGTGCGCATATCGGGTTAGATGACGTTCTTCTCCGTTTAATAATATAAAATATATGGCATCATATCGCGGAGCATTGACGGCTGTCGACGGCTACATTAAACGAATGTACGATATATTAACTTACGCATAATCATATAATAATATGGAGAAATGCGCAGAGCAAGATAAACACCTATAATATTGTTATCAATACAGATGCGGAATTTATTCGTATTTTTATTAGGTGACTACATGAGATATAATATAAAGGTGTAAAATAATTATATGGCGCATCATAATCGAATTCCTATAAACGCGCTGCAGACAAAAGAACGACCGTATTTGAAATTCAAAATATAAATTTTCGCTTAAATCGATTTCAAAATGTCAATACTTCTAAAAGTGAATCGCGCTTATCGTAATATATATATTGTTGTATTATATATTGAGTTGTGCTATATGACACGAACGTCAGAGATATAAAAATACATGTCATTAACAGCGACAAAGATATTAATAATAATAAAATACTAATATTAATAACTTATTTTATGTAAGTACATTACAAAATATTCAAAATCGTCAATAATCCATAACTAATATTATTATTATATAATCGTAAAAGTCTGTATTTATGTTCATTATGTTTATGTCAATATAATATTGTCATAACACTAATCTCAGAGCTCAGACCTTCCGTCACAATCAGATAATTTATACATTTGGCATTTTTGAACGATATCCATGGGCATGATAAGCTCTAATTTTTAATACCCGGAATGGACCGCACAGCTGGTATCCGGGGGAATTTGGAACTTTTTTACGATACAAGTTATGGTATTTACTTATCTCGTTTTGGCGATAATATGCTTTATGTTTTTTACCGTTATGTTGTATATTCGCAAACATCGGTGACGTCATCCTTCGTATAATTATTTAATTCGATTGTCAACTGCAGTTGCAGTTTGATATTTAAATTTTTTTTACGGTTGTATACCTATATAATATACATTATACATATATAATACGAAGGTACCTATATAGTATAAAGGCAGAACAAGGTAAAGATACTTATATGGTTCGAGCTAGTCGGAGAATTTTCTACGTATTTTAATTATAACTACCTACATGATGAGATAATATAACATCTCGGTGCGTATAATCATAATTAAAGTACTTAATCGAGTATTTCGTAACGCTTGATAAAAAAAAACACACACATAAGTACCTACATATTAGTAGAATATACGAAAATAAAAATGAAAACCATTTCATTTTGAGGCGCGATAATGCAAAGTAGTATAGTAATACAATGAGCAAATACACGGCACACCACACTGAATGTACACTCTGCTGTTTATGTTACCTATACGACGATAACGTGCGAACTGGGTCATTATATAGATTGTGTGCGTATAAGGCATTTAAGCGCTTTATACATTTTCGCAATATAACCCAACCCAACCGAAAAACTACACATAATGCACACACTATATATTATAATATATTATTATGTACTATTCGTACAATATGTAAACCGTGTCCCAGACAGATGTTACATAATGTCCAGAAATAATTTTCATTTTCGAATCCCATTCGAGTAGGTACTTTCGAGGAATTGTATTCCAATGCGTTCGATACTTTATACACTTTAATATATATTATACGGCGTACATGCTATACACAATCTCCGGGACGCGTTGTTTTAACGGTCTTATAAAACAAAAATAAAGGGGAAACAAATACATGCTAAACATTTACGATAGCGCAAAACAATAAATAACACGACACTTGGATAAAAATTAAATGAATATAATAATATATAAACATTATATTATATTAAAATAAGACAATTATAAGTGTTCAGTATCAATACTGTTATACTTACTCCGTCGTTTTAATATAACTACGCCCGTGGAATAAAATTATAATTTCATTAGGTAATAACAATAATAAAAAAATAAAACAATAACTTGAAAGAATGAAAATATTATGTTGTAAAAACGTATTCATAATATTCATCTA